ACCTCCAGTACCAGTAGCTGTGAGTGCATCAGTAGCTCTCTTGGCTGCTATCTCAGTATGTGTCCAGATTGTCTCCTGTAAGAAGTTTGGTTCAGCAACCCCGACACCCAAAGGATACTTCCTAATGTATTTGGGGTCCAAATCGTCGATAGCATCCTGCTGTCTATCTCGACACCTAACAAGAGTCTGAATTCACCTTTTATTACTAGAATCAGTTCTAGGCATATATACCCTCAGTCCTTTGGCATTTATTCAGTGTTTTCCCTCCTCGTCATGCGAATCCTCTGCAGGAATATCGATGATACTATAATCATCTTCCTCAACGTGAGGGAAAGCCGGTTTCAACGGGGGGGATTCTGCACCACCCAGGTTAGCACCCACGCCTGCTCTCTGGAGGACCGTCAATATCCTCCGAGGCCTGGCATTGCTGTTCTTCAATCAACCTTCCAGCTCCTCTGAATCCGTAATTTGTACCTCCACCGAGCGAACGGGAGGAACAGCTGCTGGGGGGACCTTCTCAATTGTCTCTCAAATAGTCCTGACTGCTCTGCTGGGTGCAGTGTGCTTCAGGATCAAGTTGTATAACTCGGAGAAAGTTATCTTGGTCAAAATTCCGATGAACAAAGGTTCATTGAGGGGATCATTCAAGTCACGAGTAGGTGGTGGGACAAGGATAAAGAATATTCTTAGAGCATCGGGGTCCACCACGGTAATCATTATGGAAGGTCGCATGAGTTCCGGGGTTACTGGACGCTCTTTCCCTTTGCGAGAGCGTCTTCTGGCTACCTGACCACCGCCGTCATCATCATCAACACTATCACTGGCAGCCTCTTTGAACTGATGGTCTCCCTGTCCCCTTGATAACTTATTCTTCGTACCAACATCCGCGATGAGCCACTGTAGAGCACTTGCCAGTGCTCTACGGGTATCAGAGTCACCCCCAGTCCAAATTGGAAGAAAACAATTGAGGGAGGGCAGGTTCATTAAGTAAAGGCATAGGGCATTAAACGCAGCCAATCCGGAGGTGTTTTTATTGACCCAACCTACATTTTGAATTTCCCTCTTTAGGCTGTTGCGGATGGTGGTGTACACTTTAGGTATGTTGAGTAGACTTAAAGTCATCTTCATTTTGGTCGCTTGAGTCATCTTAAATGCCCTCGAGCTCGAGGATATCTGTTGAACACTCGGGGATATCTCTTGGACAATCGGCGATGGCTCAGGTCTAATTCGTCTCTGTCGTACTGATGAGGAGTGGTCTATTATTTCGGTCGGGCTTACACTAGACAATAACTGAGAGGGGCATCGAGGCTTGAATATAGGGGTGGTCTATTAGTTCAGACGGGCTTGCACTAGAAAATAACTGAGAGGGGCGTCGGGGCTTGAATATAGGGGTCTCTGGTGCAAGAGTCTTTAGTGGAACACTGACGTGTGCTGTTGAGGGAGTAGTAGACCCTGCTGGGCCTGTTGAGCAGCCTGTTGCTGGGCCTGTTGGTGGGCCTGTTGCTGCTGAGCCTGTTGAGCGGACTGCACTAGACTTAGACTGAGTGAGAACTTAACCTGGGACTATGATCTTCCGGGCAACATTTTTTCGTGGAGCACTAGCGGGTGGTGGTGAGGTAGCACTAACCCTAAGTACGGTAATCTATACAAGGGGTTCTGATGAAGCACTGGTGCGTGCTGAGGAAGCAGGAGAGACTGCTGATAGTGGGCCTGTTGCTGAGCCTGTTGCTCGGTCTTGATCGTCGGAATCAGTTATGATTGCTCTCCAGTTACTCGGGAAGATCCCTTCAGTGTCCGATGGAGCTAGGTTAGTATTTGGAGTAGTCCGGGGTTTAGTCTAGATTGGTAGAGGTACGGGGTTTTGTTTTCAGCTCTTGTTGATCGGGGTGAACCAGGAAAGCACTGGCGACTGCCTCGAAGGTGTTTCTGGTATCTCCTCTGGGATAGGCTTGACAGTTTTGCGGGACGATTTGCGACCTGAGGAACTTCGGTGTTTCTTATATTTTCGGGACGATTTGTGTTTCTTAGTTTTTCGTTGGGTCTTTTCGTTATCGTCTTCATCTATGTCACGCAAGTGCTCCTTATTGGGAAATTGATTTGTTTTCCTGGAGCTACCGGGAGTGCTCTGATTGGTGTTTGGAGTCTGATAATGTTAATCTATCACTTTGGTGAGTATGGTTCTAAAATTAATTGGATTAGGAGAGAGAAATACGATCTTATTTATAAAGATTGCAAAGGTTGAATTGCTTGAAAATGGAGGAACTTGAAAGATGAGATTTCAACAGGTAATGTTGAAAGCAATGGAGAACTTGAAGTGATAGGTAGAGGAGAACTTGAATTTGGTTAGGAATTTCTCACAAACTTGAAGGAAGGGAGGGGTGCTCTTATACCGAGTAAGATCATCTTTTTTTTTGAGCTTATCACGCTTCCGAGAGCATTCAAGAATGCTCTAGAAGCACTCCAACTCGAGGATGCTCGTACTCAATGTTTGCTTCAATATATGACGTTGATGATCTAAATGCTCCAGGCGCACTCTGGGATGCTCGGATGGTACCAATGGTGACATCGGTAACATTCTGGTGTTGGGGTTGGTGTTTGTGTTCTTCTTGGTATTGGTGCTCTGTCCTCTAGGAAACTGATTCGGAGAGAATATATTCTTTGAGCTCGTAGTCAATATTAGTGTTGAATTTGGCGCTGATAACACTGTCTCGATCTCAAGAGACTCCGCGAGTGCTCAGGGAGAGAGTGCAGATGCTCAGGACGATAGAATCTAGCATAACTGGCCGCCTGATTGCGGTGGTAGGTGTTTCTTCATGTTGGTGTTTGTGTTTGTATTGGGTTGATGTATGACATCAGACTCGTACTGAAAGTTAGCCTTGTCGACAGGGTGCAGGTGAGAGCCTCATTGGCTGATAAATCAAATCATTCGAGCATTCTGCAGCAGCACCTGCAGGAAAGAGCCTCCTCGGCCTTGGCAGAAAACAAATATTCAGAGTACTCAGGAGTGCTTTGCTAGCATCGTGAGACTTCAATGATATCGTCTTGCCCTTTTTGCAGCAAGCGGTATCCCATGGACCGTAACCTAACGATTTGGGGACATATTTGTCCTTAATTTACCTATTGACAACAATGAGTAGGGGAAATTTCCCAACTACATTTGTCAATATCAGCCTGTTTTCGGGAGCTAGTAGAGTGACATAGATAGGTATTTTGGGACTGTTTAGAAGCAATGATTTGCTCCCTCCTGGTGGCTTTATCTCTTATAGAGTAAACCTTTTTTTTCCCATACAAAAACCGGAAATTCACATATATCACAATAACTTCGCAACCACAGCCACTGAGAACTAGCTCTTTTTTATATAGTTGATTTAGGGCTATATGCTCCTGGTTTCCGAAAAACAGACCCATACAGCTGCATTCCCATTTTATATTAACCATTATTGTTTATATATTTTTATGGGAATTATGCAGAATATGGCTCTATAGAATTTTTTGGAGTAACGTCATCATGTAATTCAGTACCGCCACAGTGCAAATAATACTTCTATGTAGTTACAATATTTTTCGTCTGTAATTTCTACTATTTTACCCCAAGGGTGAACTTCGATATATTAACTGAGTAGGCAATATCATTCTACATACAGATCTAAAGCATTCAAGCAAGATGGCTGCAGAATTTGTACGGGTTGGGGACTTTTTATTGCAAAAAATCACTCCTATCACCATAGTTCATCAAATAAAACAGAAAAAAGAGGGGTTTTCAATCATATTCAGATCTGTTACCTCCTGTCATCCAAGCATCCTACAATACACACATTAAAAAAATCACTTTCCCCACTAAATTTTGATAGATACAGTCGAAGGGCTAACCATGATAACACAAAGGATATTGTGTGGTTGCGATTTCGAATCTTTTTACGTCGTTACGGTCCATGGGATAGCTCCTCCGCGAACTTCGATAAACATCTTCGAACTACACATCTATTTGAAGCAGATGAATGGCTGAGAAACCAGTTTTTACTCCTAGAGCGCGATCAAGAGATACCTGATGACACTCATGACAGCCCGGAAGGCATTCACGATTTCTATTCAGATGTCCATAATGACTCGAATAGTTCGGAGAGCAACAGTATCAATTATCATGATCAAGATCCTGATAATAATTCAGATCTGGAATCCGAATCATATTTTATGATTTAAGAGGCAGATGGAGATGCAAATAGGCATGAGGCAGCGACAACGATTTACGAGGGTGCTAGAGAGCATCTGTACTACTCGGAGGACTACGACGAATGTTCACAAAACCTTCTCCGATACCTGTGGCATCCATTCAACTCAGCATACGAGTTTAGAATGGCACGTTATTTCATACTGTCGAAGGCCTCAAAGGAAATATCGACAGTTTCTTTCTACACGCTCTGTCAAGCAGTGGCGAATACTCCCACAGGACTGGGCGAGGTTTTATAAAGAGGTTGGAGGAAATAAATGACAAATTGGGAAAGGCGAGCTGGAATCATTCAGAGTTGGATATTGGGGGAGAGAAAATCCCTTACTATCACCGGGATCCAATGGTAATTGTGCGATATCTTCTAGGCCAACGGGCCTTTCGGGAGTCATTGGTGTATGCACCAGTGGTACAGCATAATGAATCTAGTGAGAGAATGTACGGGGAAATGCATACAGGAGATTGGTGGTGGGAGACTCAGGTCCAGTAAGCCTCACAAGTGCTCTATCAGCAGTCACTAATGCTTTCTGGACAGAATACCTTACCGGAGGTATCGACTGTGGTACCAATTATATGCGCGTCAGATGATACACATTTGACAAATTTTAATGGGGACAAGAAAGCCTGGCCAATCTATGTTACCATCGGGAACATCAAGTAATCAGTCCGGAGCAAGCCCACTGGGCATTCGTTAATTCTCCTAGGGCTACTGCCAGTACCACCTAAGCTCGAGAATACCTCACTCGCTAATTCCGCTTTACGACATCAGAGTCAAATGGCGCTGCATCGCGCCCTTGGGGAGATCTTTCAGAGCATTCGGGAGTGCTCTCAGGAAGGAGAGCTAATCGCATCCGCCGACGAGTACGAACATCTATGCTTTCCGGTGTTGTCGGGTTGGATTGTTGATCAACCTGAGCATGCAAACTTACAAAATACTAGTACTAGTTCTTGTCCAAGATGCGAGGTGGATTTCCACAGTCTTGGGAGCACTCGCCGGAGCCTTCTGCGCGATCACGAGGATTACCTAGAGAGGGTAAAGCTATTTAGGGAGAACTCGAGAAACCTGAGACCGGTGGAATACCTTATCGCGAGCTCAGTGAAAACACTCTTCAATGCTTTCTGGGGTATGCCGAGGGTTAATCCATACGATCTCAACAAACCGGACATTCTGCACAATATCTATCTAGGAATGTTGAAGCACATGATGGAGTGGGTTCAGGCTTTCTTGAAGAATCACAATCGATTGGAGGAATTTGACAAGGCTTGAGCCTCGATTGCACCTTACCCTGGACTGACAGTACCGAACAAGGCATATTGTACCACAACTAAATGGCAAGGGAGAGAGATGAAAAATCTGGGGCGGATCATTCTTGGAGCACTCGTGGCTGCTTTGAGAAACCTGAGGGTGGCTGTCAGTGGCGACTTCGCAAAGGCATTGAAATGTGTGCGAGGCTTAATCGACTTCCACTTAATAGCGCAGTATGGGAGTCATACGACGAGCACACTGAATTACATGGAGAGCTATCTCGAGGATTTCCATAAGCACAAGGATATCTTTTTAGAATTTCAGGCGTACAAGAGGATGGTTAAGGATGCGAGAAATCGGACAAAAGCCTTAAACGCCTCAGGCTCCCAGAATGCTCAGCGAGGCTTAGAGGAGATTCGCGAGATACGAAAAAGGTCTCAGTTCAACTTCATCAAATTGCACGTGTTATCGCACTACCGGGAACATATCTAGCGCTTTGGGAGCATTCTTCAGTACTCCACCGACATCAGCGAGCTCACTCATGTGCGTCAGGTAAAAGAGGCATACGGAACATCCAACAAGGTCGATGCTGCAACGCAGATACTGGACTATGGGGGCGGCAGTAGGCGTTAGAGATTCGAATGCTGAATCTGAAAGACATTGTTGGAGGTCTTGAGAGTACTGACGACACCCTTTGGAGCCATCGAGATAACCTGAAGGAGTTACTTGAGATAATTAAAATCGAAGACTGGAAAAAAACTCCAAATGAACAATTCATAGTAGAAGGAGGGTTGCCTCTAAGGCGTCTTTGCAACTCCTTCACGAAATCAAAAAGACTTTTCAGTATTGCAGATAGACTGCAAATAAGCCATACCACGTTATATCGCCTGATAAAAGAGTATGTAGAGGATGCAAGATGCTCTCAGAGCTTTGCCGGAAGCTCTGAGAGCATTTTAGAGCGTCGGGTGGAGATGTTCACATGTTTGCAGGTTCCGATACCAATCTTCCAAAGACCTGACGTTTACAAGGTTCACAATATTAGGTGTACGGGAAACGTGGCTTTTAGGAAAGGGAAAATAAGAAAGAATTGGGTATGGGTGTCAGTAGCATCCTCAGAGGAGTGGGGAGTGTTTTGGGGACGCTTACCAGGACGTGTGGAGGCTTTCTTCAAGCTGCGGGACAGTGGGGGGCGAGCACATAGACCGTGTATAGTGGAGCTACTCAAGGCAAAGGATCGTGGCATCGCTAATAGCTCACATAGACTCCTGAATGGTTGTAGGAGGAGGAGGAAGAGGATGTGGGTCGTTAATATTCGGAGTATATTGGAAATGGCCCATTTGTTTGAGGTGGAGACTGGTAATTGGTTGATAAATACTAGGATAGACTTGCATACGTGGAATGAATTTAGTTGAATGCTTGCAAAGCCGTGAGGGCATTCGTGAGTGCTCTGGGAATGTCAGACCCAATTGGACTCTCTAGTTCAAAATTCGTGTCTTTCTGCTATGCATGCGGATTGGAAGAAGGAGGTAAAGTTTCGGCCACTCAGTATCTAAGTCTGGCTATTCAGCAGGCTCACTCCAGGATGTAACGGGGTTCTCTTCTAAGAGAAGATAGAATAGAATAGCATACAGATGGCCATGCAAGATAGACAATCAGGTTGCAGATTATTCAAAGATACTATCGCTAGAACTGAATAATCTTTAAGAGCTCTGCTACCGATAAGAACTTTTTCTTTTCTCATCAAGACTGGGGAGAACAGGATTGAGAAGCAAGAATGAGCCTGAGTACTTATACTCCGAAGACATCTATTCTCTGCTCATAACCTCTTACTAAGTTTCGGTGAAGCCTTTCCTCGGTTTGGGAAACAATACCACCGCTACCCCGCTTTTCTCTAAGCGCCAGCAAATGTTTCCGATACACAAGGCAACTACCCTTAGTTAAAGCCTTTGTAACACCTGCAGCCTTGGTTGCCACACAACTGGGCCCTGCATGAATGAGCTGCTACTCAGGTGTAAGCTTAATCATTGCTGTGGCCTTTCGCTTATTGTAGACTTCACTGGCATAGTCCCTGCCACTATCGGCGGACTTACAATACTCAGAGGATACAGAGAATCACCAGGCAATCAGAGCTTCACTCTGGCTGGCCTTCTAGTTACTGGTGGGGCATAGACTCATCAGTCATTACTCCCGTGAATAGATCCCCTTCCTAGCGCCCAGAATGTAGTTACTCTAACAGCTGGTAGCTAACCACACTGCCGCTACTTGCATCTCACTGTGCAAATGGCTTCTAACAATAACTCTCAGCATGTAACCGGACCCTGTGTGTACTCATACCCCAGACAGTTGAAATGGCTCCATTACACAGGAGGGCAATGCCAGTCCATGTTTGCTGCTTACTATCAGGGCCCGACCGCCCCCACCTGCTCTGCCGATTAGAACGCTACGGAATCGGGTTATTAGGTGAAGGATCAGGATGATTTTGGTTAGGTTGGATATGTTAGGAATGTGCTCAGAGAATACAGTAAGCGCTAGGTACTTCGGGTTAGGTTGTAGGGAGAAGGATCGGGATCGGTTGTGGGATTTTATTATATTTGTTTGATATTTCTTTAGGTGTGGTTACGAGGATTAGTTATTGGGTTATTCTTTGGGGTTTATATTCGAGGCTTCGTTCTCACTATCTGTACTTCTCTTTCTTTCTTCTTTACGTAAGGTCTTTATTCTGTTGGCTAGTAAATCCTATTCTGTTTCGATCGGTATTCAGCCCGGTCCTCTGTTCTTGTCCGAGAACGTATCCGAGTCGATTCTAGCCCTGGTACCTGCCCACATCTTTGTTCTAGAACCCTCCCCCCCATCAGACTTATGCATGGACATTGAGTTTTTTAGACGAGTCGTACCATGGCTCCGACCTCAAAGCTAATTATGCCTTTCACAAATCAACAGAAACATACACTTCCGTCAAAAGTTAGCTAGTCATCATCAGGATACAGGACAGTGCTCGTATCAGTATCCTGCGACTGGCCATACAGCGGCGTTGAGGATACCTACATTAGATAAGATTTGAGGTACTGGTGCCTTCCTATCCTTTGACGATGGCGTATTAATACAAAAGGGGCAAAGTGAGGGTTGCCTTACCTTGAGTGGGTATGACGAACGCCTGAGCTCTGTGAGCATTGGTGAGTACTCTGGGAGCACTCGGGTGAGCATTCACGTGGGTATTCACGGGAGAATTCGCGTAGGCATTCGCAGGAGCATTTGCGTGAGCATTCGCTAGAGCATTCGCAGGAGCATTCGTGGTGCCGTGAGAAAGTTCGCCGTGCTGTGAGAGCATTCGCTGTACCGTGAGAGGATTCAAGAAAACTGTGAGAGCATTGGGAAGTGCTCGCCTGGTACTACTGATGTAATCAAAAGAAACAAAGGTTCGATAGATGCTATGGGTGGGTTCACTCTATCCTAGCGTCCCCGGAGGGGGAAATAATCTCATGGCGGCCCAGGCGAGCAGAGCATTGGCGAGTGCCCTCCGGATGTGAGCCATATCTCCTGATGGTACCGGAAGGGTAGGCGCTCCTGGGGGGGAGCCGGGCTCGAACGGTATACACTGGCAGTGCCAGACGCGCTAGGTGCTCAGGGCGCGGAACGTCTGCCAGGACGAAGGGGCTGCGCCCTGGGTAATACGCGAGTTTGGTGATGTAAGCTGCCCATAGGTAGGCTCGACTATTGTTGTGGACTAGACGAGTTAACTCGAGTCCTCAGCATGAGCCCAAAGTTCGAGCAGCCACGAGCAGCTACCCTCACGAGTCCAGCTTTTTTCACTGATCGATTTGAAAAACTCGAGCTTTTTGGGTGTTAACTCTCTGAATTTTCCCGGCCTGAAACCATACTAGATATACCAATATTATTCTTCCATCATTTGATTTATAAAATCCTGGTGTATTCAACCCTAACCCTCATGGCATATGTTTGCACAAAGAGATCTAGAATACCTTCTGAACTCCGATCTGGGACCACTGAAAAGCCCGAGCTGAGCTCAAGCCAGTCGAGTTTTTATAAGTCGAGACAAGCCGAGCAGCTGCTTTCACAAGTCAAGTCAAGCTTTTTTTTCTGCTCGTCTCGAGCAGACTCATCGACCACACTAGGCTCGAGTTTTTGTCATACTATGATTTAGCCAAATGGTGTTGACACTTGCAGATTATGGGAGATGTCTCAACTTTCAGATTGGACAATAGCAATTATTCGCATAAGCATTCAGTGTTCCTGAAAGAAATAGAAGTCGACAGCTGCTTTCATGGATCGATTAGTTAATACATTGGGTTACGAGGAGTTGGATTAGTCAGAAAGATTCTATTGAGTTCTATCGGGTTCTGTCGGTTGTAAGTGTATGAATCACTTTGGATTTATCATCATTGAGATTTCCTTAGGTATATTAGGAGATTTCCTTAGGTATATTAGGAGGTTTCGCCCTCGTTTCTGTTTTCTTTCTCTTCTTTCTTTTGATACGCAACGTCTTCTGTACTTACGCTGTCTATTACTATATAATATTATTTCCTCTTCTTTACTTAAGAAGACCACCGTGCCGCTGCTTCCCTTGTTCCGTTGACACTTATCAACGCTAGAATCCCTCAGGACCCCTATTGCAGGCTTCCACACCGACCTCTACTACCTCCTTCTTACCCTGCGGAATACTCTCTACTCACCCCCTTGAGAGCTGCAGACCTCGTGGAAGTAGTGATGGGCACGAGAAGTACATACTACCCCAATACCAGTGTGTTATTAGTTCTATGAAAAAACTGTCAAAACGGTGGTTTATGGTAACGCCAAGAGTTATCTTTGTAATCATTGGTTTGATAAACAATTTTACTGGTGGTTTACGAGTGAGACATAACTAGAAGTACAGTCAAATCTCACTATAAGGTTATGAAAATTTCAGAAAATCGGGCTGCAGCTTACCCTTATAGAGAGTACCCTTATGGGAAATTAGGGTTAGGGTTATTTTAGTTGTCGTTGGTCGGAAATGTGGGTAAGGAGAGAAGACATCGCAAAATTTCTTCACAATCATCTAAATTTGGCCCTAGCCCTATCTTTTCTATAAGGGTACGCACCAAAAAAAAAACTCAATTGTCTAAGAATATTCTTACAGCAAGTATTTGGTCATTTACCCTTATTTTTACATACAAATCTTTTGGACCACAAAACTGTACCCTTATAGGGCGATTACCCTGATAGATGTTACCCTTATAGCGAGATTCGACTGTAGATTAAGTACGTGCCCAGTGTCTTAATGTAGTACACGAGTGATTGATCATCATGAATTACTAGCCACTTTTGGCAACAGCTGAAAATCCTACAAATCACGACCGGAAACTCGAATTCACCCAACTCAATTTCTCGCCGAGCTCTCATTGCTGCATCTAGAAGCCTCGGTGATATTTGAACGCCCAGCCAGTTGTCGCACTAGATTGAGGTGGGCGAGCCAAGACATGGGGGTTCAGTACGTGTCAGGAGATTCAAATACACTCATGAGTCATGGTAGCTTTCTCGACCACCATTAACAAGCCGGTATAGTATAGTGGTTAGTACTTCTCGTTGTGGTCTCTAAATCCTGCTCCGAGAGAACCCATGTTCAATTCGTTCAATTCATGGTGCCGGCATCTTCTCAGCATAGGTATTGTGGGTTATCAAAATTATCTGGACACTCGCGTCGCAACCACACAAATTGGCTAGAACAACCAAATTTTGAAACCACGGAAATCAAATCTCTTGTACTCTCTCCTTGTGGTTGTGGAGAAAGGCGACGTTGAAGTTGAAAATTTGGTTGCAGCGATGTCCGGATAATTTTGATAACTCGCAATATCATCTACCATCTGCTTTCTCTTTTGTATTTCCTTTTTTTCTAGATTAAGTAGGTACAGTAATCTTAGTAACTGTGTTAACAAGTATTTTACCGGAACTGGGTGCCTTCATTGAATTGAGGACCGAAGATTGTTGAGAATAAGCAAAGGTAGACTTCACGATCAAATAATATCAACCCAAAGCAAAAGAGTCCGTGAACTAAGGATATTTGTGCTTCATATCAGATAGCAGTGAAATAGTCCCGCGGCGTGGCTATATATCAGAGAAACAATCAATCCTCGTCTATGACATTGTTCCCACACCGCGTATCGACATCACCTATCCTCTACCATAATACGAAACGCCTATCTATCCACGAATTGCCAGCCAGTAACGATAGTTAATTCTGCTGGGTGAATCCTCAGATGAATGATGGGAACGAGATTTCTCGTAAGACAGTTTAAAGGGGGGTTGGGGTGTTGTTGTTGGTTTTCTGTGGGGACTGGTGGTGAGTCATGGGCAAGACAATTCAAGCCTCAGGTAGATTTTGTGGCGCAACCAGAGCGATCGTGCAGAGAACTTGCAATGAAGACACAGTACCTAGCTCTAGTCATCTAACAACTTAACTAGGCTATGTACTTTGTTCTTCTTCTTCATGATTCGGCCCAGACATCATCACAATCACAGAATATCTGACCAGAGCAACGGGAAAGCACTATCAAGAGGGCCTAAACTATCACGAACACCGACTACTCCCAGTACCAAGAGCCTTGACCCTCTCTTCTACAACCTGAATGAATTTCCAATATCATCCCCAAATTCAGCTCAGGATTTTAAACAACTCCTACATCAAACTGTCGACCCGAAAGCCTCGAGACTTTACCGTGACTCGTCCATTGTCATGACTTGGTTCAAAGAACCCAGGACGCACGAGCTGGATAAGTCTTGTCTTTTCCGTCCCGTACTTTTCGTTGTCAGATTAACTTCCACTTAGTTTGTTCTTTCTGGCTGACATTCAAGGAATCCGTGCTACCATGCGCGAACGTTTCTTCCATTTCCTCACCGCCCCGGGCATCACACTACTGTCGAAGTGTTCCCGGCCCTTGATACGCCTATGGTTAGAGTGAGTCATAGTTTGGTTGTTTATAAATTGATGTAGCAAGCCTCTGTGTTTTGAAGCCTACCTGCCGAAAGGCATTTACATAGCCGACTCTCGCGATAAAGATACCTGTTATCAAGACAACTTATAAAGAGAGGATTTTTCAGGATTTATAGACCCTCTCAGACCTAGATACGAATTGACCCTGGATATAAGAGATACTCTCCTTAAGACTACCAATTTCCGATCCCGAGCGGGCCCTTAGCACCTAGAGGGGCGAGTTGACCGTGCACGCGTGTGTAGAAAGAGGGCCTTGTAATCACCTATATTTTCTTTAATCATTCGACTCGAACGGGCGACTAGAGCGATCTGAGCGTGGATACGCAGTTTGGCGAATTTGCGTCTCGCAATTATCCAAATTGTGTCCGGCAATCAACCACACACGCCCGGCCGAGCAAATTGAAGGTGAGATCTATCTCCGATACTAATACTGCGTGGTTACGCTCTTACTGTACATTCATTTTCCTACTACCCGTTACTCTGGCAATATGGAATTTTTGGTGTGCTTAAGGAGTGCAGGGTGACACATCGTCACACATGGCGTTGCGGATGACTTTGTGTCAATGATTTCATGGACATTATTCTATCTCATAGTACAGCACTCGCAAATGAAGGCTTGACATAGCGATCAGGAAGAGGCCCTAGTTTTCTTTGCCCTTATCCCTAAGTATTATAATTTAGAAGATTTCCGAGGTTTTCTCCCTTTGAATTTACCTTGACGGTTCTAAATTCCCTGTTACTTTTCACTTTCTCTTGCTTCTGGATCCACAATCAGTAGCAGGAACAGTAACATTTTCACAAAGCCTTTCCTCTTTCATGGTGTCATGTTTGAAGGGAGAAATCTGTTTGGATGGATATAGGAAAGCAGATCGAAATCGCTATAGCATTCATATACTTAAAACTCTGATTATAGAAACGACACTACTAAGGCGTTCAGTAAAAGGTCGTGAAAATAAGCGTTGCAACGGGACGACTTTTCACGACCTTTTACTGAACGCCTGAGTAGTAGTACATGTATTTGTTTCCCATTTGTACCAACAGCTGTCCGGTAAAGTATGTAAATGCATGTTATTTGGATCCACGGAATCAGTAGTTACATGGTGGCGTATTCCTTTATATCCCGCCTAACTATATCACATCCCGAAAGCAGTTCCACCAATAAAAGACTACTAACTTGGATCTTCTCATTCTCTCGCTTGATCTTATGCTGTACTTGGTCTAAATTATTTATGGTGCTTTGGCCTAGTTGTCAAATTGAAACCGATTCAGGCCACAATTGGGAAATGGTGACCTCAGCCGCCATGGTACTTCGCATCACTCACATCGTGGAACAACGTGATTAGATATACTTTGTCTCCTAACAATGAAATCTGAAAGGTGTTTCCTAAGTATAGACGTTATTCATATCATGGCACAAAGTGTTAACGGCATATTTGTACTTGACGTTGTTCTCGCCAATCTTACACGTAATTGAGAACGCACACGTACAAACACCTTGAGTACATATATATACTTTTCTCAAAGTAAGCGCCACGGGTTCCTGAAATTAAGTTACGTATCACGTTGGTCTCTTTTTATAAATGTCCCCTCCACCTCCCTTTCCTTTATCCATCATACTCACACGATAGACATCACTGATCCTGACTATTTCTCTCCATCTATACTTCGCACATATCTCATTTTGCACGGAGGACACATTTAGCCTACTCTTACTATCTCACATTTCTCGCTGCTCCTCAGCTTTTACAGAGAACAATCGAAGATTCAATACGTCTGTATTTAATTTCTCCGGTCCTCTCTCTTTCTTTCTCGCTTCTCACACATCAACATCAGAAATTCCAACTTCATTTTCTAATATCTATCAAAGACGACCCTCACTTGCGCTCGCAGAACCCAAAAAGCAACGAAATTTGGGTCACGATGCTGCTCAAACCTTGCGAATGGCGAAAATATAAGGTTCATCTTTCCATGAAGCCTCAAAAGATGAATTGAAAAAAGCGTAATTAACTAGTATGCCACCAATCGCCCACTTGGTTGTTCAACTGCTGACGTTTGTACATGTACATACAGGAGCAACCTGGAAGTAGAGCATGAATAACACTGAACTTCGAATGTTAGGATATCTCTACCCACAGGTATATCTGGTTCTCGTCTACGTCTCTTTGTCTGGACTACGAGCACCCCAAACATCGACCTACTGTTGAATCTTATGAAACATCTATGTAAATTGGTATTCATGCATTCCGTCGTTGCCCCATACTACTAGTTTGTGCACTCGCTAACTTTAATTTTGATTCTTTCATCGCCACTTCACTAGCTAGTCGCCACAAATCCAACTCCATCTCTCATAGGGTGATTGTACTGTCTATATACTCGGTCGTGCGCCGGGTCGGCTATCTATACGTTTAACTAGATAGGTGTAGAGAATGAGCTCTCCCCCAGGAGGAGCTGGCGAGGCCTATGTGTCTGGATTATTTCTGGGTTGACACTAATCGTGGACCAAGATCATCGATTTATCGGTAATTTATGGAAATAATCTTTTACCAGAGCAGGGACGCGCTACATATCAACATCCCAACAATATAGAGTGGACATAGGAAGGGGGAGCTCATGGGTATTGAAACCTCTGGTACATGCAGAAGTGGCCGATGGAGTTACCAATCAAGGGAGTGGGGAGGAGAGTGAGGAAGATTAGGATTATATTAGGCTGATTGTGAGGAAACCAGAGGATGTTTATACTATTATCAGATATATCACCTCCGGCGCGCGAACTACAAAGAATTAATGAATCACCAATTGATCAATAGCTACATATATTAAAGAGCGGGAGTATGGTTGCGATTTTGCGATTGGTTTCAAAATTGTTGTTCCGCTCTGTATTGAAAGGATAATTATCAAAGGCGATACATGATACGTAGCTACATTCTGACATAGCTCCAGAGCCCTGTGCACCTGCATTATATCGGATATTACATGACCCCTTAGTACTCATGAGATTTACTTTAAAATATGTGTGGTCCCCCTTCGGGAGCTATTAGAACGGTATCGGGCAAGTGGTCGTGGATCATGTTAAGCGAGTCCGAGTGATACATCGAGAACCACTCGAGCAACTAGTGATATCCCACATGCAGAGTACTCATTCTATGAAGAAATAAATCAACTTACTCTCACAGGTGGACGAGTATTTGTTTAGGGAATAAAGCATTCATATAAAGCCGCGGAGCGACTCCTAACTAGTTCGAGTGAGAGTTTATGATTTGGATTTAGAAATATGTACGTCCGGGGCAGGTATAGGAAAGAGTTTGAGACCAACCTTTATTAGTGAAGACTTCTGATTTGTACGTATTATATAAGCATTTAATTATTGTACTACGACATAATTCCATGCCTGTCTTTTAGTCACCAAGTTCTTCTCTCTTCACCGCCCGGCCTTGAGTGGCACGCGCCTGAATTTTGCTCTAGTCCATGTAGGAAACCTTTCCGTTGAGGAATATTCCTGAGCACACTGCCATGATAAGACGGTTATTATTGGGCCTTAGTTGTTTTATATCACTTGTACGTTCAGGAATGACACGACTGCCGCTGAGTAATGTGGTGGGCCGGGGGTGGTGGGCGCATAGATCCCCACTGCCTATCACCTTAATCGCTTATGGCCACCGACCACTTAGGTAGAGCTGTTTTTCTATCCCTTAAGCTGTCAATACGGACCTTTTATCGTGAGGCCGCAAGTGTGACTTTACTAATGACCTGAGAATCTTCCACGAACCACGGTCACACGGTTCAATTGACTGTGGCTTGTAATCCCCCAAGGGAAAGAATGTATCGAGAGCTCAAGGAATAGTTAGAAACTGGTGACCGGTCAAGTTTGAGGGGCAGCGCTCCTTGTTCCTGAATGGCCTAGCCGGTCCGTTCAGCAATATCATCAATTAGCACTCCCCGTTAGAGCACACCGCCGGCAGGCTAAACAGTACCTAAATATCGTCTAGCTCAGACATGCATCGACTTCAGGCCAGTCTTCATAGTTGTCCGAAAGTTTTGGTTAACCTGATCAATCGATCTTGTATATGTTCTCCACGCAGGTTAGAAGGGTGCACTCACTCAGAACTCATGCGTCACATTTTTTTTTCTTGGCCAAATATGGTAAAGGGTACATTTTTTAGGATAGTCAACCGGGGATGACGGATTCCTTCAGGGTTGAAAAGGTCCAGTATATCCACACATACTGTACAGCTGTGGGACCTTAGACGACGAGGTGTAGAACGTTACTTGTGAGAATGAGTTTATTAGGAACTAAGGGTTAGGTTATCTCGATAGTGCTAGTACATGACACGACATAGTTGGCACTTCCAGCCATACGTAGATCTGTCTTTAGAAACCTGAGTGACATACCAGGCAGGAAAAAAATTCTCCACATCCTCACTCTTGTTTCTCCATCATCATCATCATCATCATCAACACAACCGTCATCTAAAATACTTCATCCATTATAATTATCTCAATAGAAAACGAATACTGCATACAATTAACGAATTAAACAAAAAAAAAATAGATTAAAACGAATAGCCCGTACCGGCCAGAGGTGACCGACCGACTCAGAAACCTCTATGGGAAACTATCGAGCACGGCCCATGCATGTAGTACCGATAATGATAGTATACCTACACGAGCTCAGCATGTACCATGAGCCTAATCAATCAATCAATCCGTCAACAGTCGGGGCGTTCAATTAATTAATTAAACAAAAAAAAAAAAAACAGTCGGGGCGTTTCGATGCGAGTGATAATACATGATTCCAATTATTTTCTCTCGTCAGTGGTAACTACTAAACCTGATTCTTAAGTTTAGGAAGAATATTACACGACTAAGAGGCCATACTCGCGACTCTTCTGCCCCAACATCGACGCTCACTGTAGGGGTGTATGTCCTGTCGCCAGGAGATTTCTATCCAAATTATACCAAAATATAGTATTCCTCGCGCTACGGACACGGAATCCCGTATTCACATATTATCCGTAATTAGTATCGGGGTCAAATTAGGCACTCTAAGGTTGATGATAAGCTCTAGATATATCAATGACGCCTTTGATCGCTGCTAACAATATGGCCACCCGAACGTTAAACCAATCTACAAGGCTTCTGTTTCTTCTTGCATCGCTTCATGCCAGAGATAGACCCGAGGCGAATACATTCATAGAGCCTCTACAGATCATTATTCACATTTTCCGTCTCGAGATACCTTAATTAAATTCAAACCACATGCCCTGCCCTTCGGCAAATAGCGGTAATCAGGTCGGCCTCGGCAAGAAATGTTAGTAATTACAAAACTCCATCAACTTCCCGATAGAGCCTCAAATTTTCTTGATAAATTATAGTATAGAGCTTAGTGGAGCTTGCCTCCCAACCCTCACCGCCAATTGCTCTCCTCCTTCGGCCCCTCGCCTCGAGATGCCTCGGGAGGCAGCCCGCAGTTGGCGTCGGGTTGGGGTCAGAGTCGGAGCCGGACTCCGGCTCCGACTGGCCGTCATTTCTGGCACACTATTTATAATTCCAGAAACATTTACCGATACCGTTCACGAATATAATCGCTCGGGGGAACCTTTGTCCGTACAAACATTCTTGAAATCTTGGCTTGGATGAATAATAAACCCTAACCCTGGATTCAACCGCTGAGGGACATCAGGCCCATATCATCCAGATGAGACAGTGTTATACAGATGGAGGATAAAGAAAGGATAATACCTAAAATGATGCACACATATCACAATGCCATTCGTTATTCCTACTCCCTTCCCATGTCTCTGTGGGCGCGAAGTAATAATCCATCTAGGGCTATTTATATGTCCCTATAATTACATTTAACTCTTTTGGCAACTCGAAACCCTAAGGCTGGCAGAGAAGCGAAGGCGTAGTACGTAGCTTAATAGCTTCAATGGTAACTTACCTCTGCTTTTAACCCTGATTTTACACTTACAATACCGGAGATGCTTGCGAACTGACCGTTTGACTACCCTAGTACTACAGTATCAGAGTGTTTGTCCTTGATAAAATGGACGGCTAAGGCGGTATACTTATACAATACTAAATTACTATGATATTAGCCGTATCCCGATTTCTGCTAATGTAACTTGTACCTGGTAGAAACTGGGCTACCTGGGGTGCTAAGGCGCAAAAGCATCCATAGCCAGGGGATAATACATGTTTCTATTAAACCATGAGAAGTATCATTGGGTCAGTGCTTCTTCTATAACTCTAGTTGGACTAGACCAGACATGAGAGGGCGTAAGTGGTATAGATCTACTAGCTACTTAAGTCTAGACCAGCACCAGAATGGAAATGTCTGAATTCATGCAGATAATATATACGCTGACATGGCTAGACAGGTAACCACCAACCAGTCTCCTTTCCAGAAGCGATCTCGGCAATGGCTTTTGCGCCATGTTACTGACTGGTAACGCACTCAATCAATCTCGGGGAGAATGTTAAACGTCCCATGACTCCGAGCCCCAGAGTGATCGGCACATTTGACCCCTGGTATCGGAAATGTTAGTTTTGCGACCTCCCCACCAGCTAGCTGTAACGGGAAAAGTCGGAAGCCCGTCTAGGTACCGGTCCCAGGATATTTCACGACGCCAAAGCCATGAAGCTTGACTTGACGCTGCACTCCCGACCGGAGAGTGCCGGCCGGCAGAAATGAGCGAGAGATCAACATCATGGGCCAGTCAGTTATCGGCGATACACACAGCCCTCCCTGACCTGCAGCAGAAAGGGAAAAATCTCCATTTTTTCTTTTCTTTTCTTTTTTACGAGCCGTTGGGGAAAGCTGGTTAAGCGACCCTTTAATATATTGGATGATTAGTATTTATTACTATTGCTGCTAATCCTATTACTACCACAACCACTAGTAGACATATCATATTTCAGCCTTAAGGCGGGAGCGGGTTTATCTCGCTTTGCATATGAATTCCGGAAGAAGACCAACACACACCGGTACCAACAACTGCAAGCCCGCCGTTGCTTTCAAAGACATTGGGGAATCGAAGTCTCCTTGCTTAGGGAACGGCACTTTGAGAGCAGTTGGTGGTAATCAAATATTATATACATATATATAGATATAGATATAGATATATATAATACAAGTGTTTATATACAACTGCCGGGGATCGGTGGGGGAGGAACGACCAAAGTAAGCATAAAAGCTCTATGATCCAATCGTCGGAATGGTTCCGGTTTGTCGAGAGAGAGGATGAGTAACCGAACTAACGCAAGGCCAGTTAGTGAGTTGAGTAATCAGGAAAGATTATACACCTGTGCCAGTAGAGCACGTAGTTTACCTTTTCTCTATAAGAGATAGCTCGTTGGTTCTCCGATCGGCCCATGAAGTGTCACCTACCCCGACATAACTGTTAAGGCGAGATGAGATGCTTCTCTGGAACCGGGACAGGACCCGATGAGACACAGCCATCTAAATAGCATGACTCCCTAACAGGATTGATGATGTCCTCCCTTGAATCTGGACAGCTCACCCACGGATCAAGGTTTTACATTTCTAGGGAATTCCGTATGTTGGAAAGACTCTAGCCTAAATACATCCTGGGGGGAGAAAACATATTCCATTCCACTGCTTCCAAGTGCGCATACCCGAGCTACTGGCCGCCGATAGGGTAATTCTCTACACCCTCCCCCCCCCTTTCCATCCGCGCGTGATAGAGGAGACAACCAGGATGTGTATGCGCTGCTTGTACAGTATAGTAATCCAGAGCGTATATGCACACCTACTCCTAGCATCAACAAGCGCGGCCCCCAGGACTTGAGTGCCAATCAGGTTTGCCACAGCAGACCGGGCAGCGCAGGGCCGCCCAACTGGCTAGCCAGACGGCGGCCTAGGAGCTTCATTTACACCGCTGAGCCCGAGACCTAACACCCACATAGCCAACGTGGTATAACTACACCTGCATGTCCCGCCCGTCCAGGGTTCAACCTGATCGATCGTCACTCAAATGAATCAAGAAAACCAGTCCCTACAAATCGCGAGTGATACCCCATGAAGGGGTCGACCGAACAAAGCCCTTGTGCGGCTCCTAAAAGGTATTTGTCACACAGGATCAGACATTATATAATCAAGACACTGATCACGTGCCATGAACCCGGCACGGCCGATAGATTTTGACGTAAAAAGAAATCGGATCCCCGCGTAGCTGCTCTTTTCCTGAATCCATCTTTCTGTGTGCATTTCCATGCTTCATCTGCTCTCCCGCATATCACACCCATTGTTGGTAATACCACGCAAGAGGTAATTACTCCTCTGCTTCCACCGGGCCCGGGGGGGGGTGTGCTGCTATACGCACTTAATGTACGTACTTGTGCTCACGATATTATTTATTTACCCAAGCTTAAGCTGTGGTGCACTACTCGCCGCAACCCAAACCCACATCTATAAAAACGGTTCGCGAGGTCGACTACAAGGTCTAGGACCTCAGGGTATCCATTACTATTCCACGGCTACAGCAGCAACCACAACCACAACCATTGCCATTACCATGTCGGACGGCCAAGCATCACAGCAGCAGCAGTCAACGTCAATGTCACCTGGAGCTGATACCGGCGAGAAAACCGAGCAGCAGCAGCAATTGCCGAAGCTCACCGCGTCAGAGTTCCGACAATATAATCGGTTGGCGGAACACATGGATCAGTTTGTAAATCTCCCGCGCTCCCCTGTTTTATTTCTATTTTATTTCTGCTTTAATTTTGATTTTTTTGGTTCTATTTTTCCCCCCATTATTATGGTTTATTGTTATTTATTGTTGTCGTAAATTGTAATTTGGCAATTTATCCACCGGAATTTCCCCCGGACCAGTAGCTGGCTATATGCTAGCTAGCCAGCTAGGAAGGTAGGCAGGTAGGTAGGTCAGTAAGTATGCACAGCTGCAGCTGGAATAGCCCTCAAGATATCCAGCCAGGGTAAGGCTGTCAACCGTCAAGTTAATAGGGTGCTTTGTGAAACCCCCCTCAAAAATAGCCCAAGAACCCCAACCCCCATGCAAGAAAAACATCCCGACAAGGAGCACGTTTAAATTGATATGCTGTCTGTCACACATAACTAACCCACACCTCTCTCTCTTTCCCGGGGGTGTCTGGCAGCACAACGGTTTCCGCCTCTCCTGGAACGAGATCTACAAGGCCTGCACCACTAACCAACGCCCGCGGTCCATGTCCCTGCGCGAGTTCATCGCCTTCGCCCTCCGCTTCTCCGAGCACCTCGAGATGCACCACTCCATCGAGGAGAGCTACGTGTTCCCCAACCTCGCACGCAAGATGCCCGCTTTCCGCAAGCAGGACGAGCTGCTGGCGCAGCACCGCAAGATCCACGAGGGCCTCGACAAGTATGCGGCGTACCTGAAGGAGTGCAAGAGCGGCGAGCGGGAGCTGGTATTAAGGGAGCTCAAGGAGCTCATGGAGACGTTTGGGGAGGTGCTGTGGAGGCATTTGGAGGATGAGGTTGTGGAGTTGGGGGCGGAGAATATGAGAAAGTATTGGACGTTGGCGGATATGAAGAATTTGGCGTTTTGATTGTTTTATTGGTAGGTAAACGGGAATCTATTGTTAGTTACAGCCCTAGTTTATGGGTCGGGGGTCGGACGGAGCTGGCTGGCTGGCTGGGTTGGGGTTATATGGCTGGATGTGGTTAGTGCAGCTGCGAAAAATATCGTGTTTACCTGCGTTTTTGAAGAAGTGAGTTCACAAGGAGGGGATGGAGGGTTCAAAGGAATTAAATTAGGGGGCAAGCGCCATCTACAATCATTATTCCGCCGTTTCGTTATATACAGGTAAAGAAAAGTGCTCTTTCAACTAGGACGTGTTGTGAGTGGTTTTTGAGCGTATGTAACGAAGCTAGATAGGCAAATATGATATCTATCAGCAAACATGTAGCAATTCAATGCACCCAAAGAGGATAAAAGTCAAGGGAGTAACTTACAATTTAATATAGACATTGATACTTGGGTCCTGGATGGCCTGGCGAATATTTGCTACCAGCACATCAACCTCCTGCTTATCCCACCCCAGCATCCTCGTAAACATGGCGAGCGTCAATCCCTGTGCGCCAACGAGCAGCACTTCTCGTAGAAAGATACCTATTGAGTAACAAGCAAAGGTAAGTAAGTGAGTGACTTTAGCCGCGCGCGAGAAACCGCTACACCGACTCCCACCCGGCCCGGCCCGCCCAACACGACATACCCATTTCCTTCATATTATCGCCTTCAGCTTCCGCCCATGTTCTACATTCACATCCCGCCAGTACCCCGTCAGTAAACACAACTTGTTTCTTCCTTTTCTCGTCTCCCTCAACCTCTCCGTCGAATTGAAATAAAAAGAAATATGAAAAAAGGGGGGAGGGGAAAAAATGGAATTTTTCATTACCCAAGCGGGACCTTGAAGCTCCTTTCTGTGACCTCTTTGAATCCGGCATCTGGCAAATCTTCTTTGAATTGCTCCGCCATGATCCACGTCACGCCGGCCATATCGGAGGCCTTATCGAAGTCGTTGACCCATTTTTGTAGTATGTTGTCACTCGAGAGTGAGCCGTCGTCGCAATCGAAGGGCCGTGAGTGATCTTTTAGTTCGATCCAACCGCCGGGTTTAAGTGTCCTTTAAATCGATATACGGGCCCAACGTTAGATTCAGTTCGGACTATCTTTTCATCTTTTTCAACATATTCCCCATCCTCGTCTATACATGCACCCCCTCTCTTTTTCTCTTCTCTTCTTGGACCGACGCAGACACACACCGGAAAGCCTGTGCATATAGCTTCTTCCAGTCCCGCACTGCGCCAGACAGGTTGCGGATATGGATTAAATCAAAATGATTATCAGGAAAAGGCCACTCTTCCTCACAGTCGTCGATCACAAAATGAAGATTTGGTGGGACGTAGACTGGTTGGATTGGTGAGAGGTCGTTTCCGATTACTGTTGTTTTTGGAAGCAGACTAGTGGTGGTCAGTAAATTATCAAATAGTAGCTAGCCGTAGGTTTGTAAAAGTTCAAAGTTGTAATAAATGAGGTAACGTACTCTGCTGTATCGATAGCCCAGATGCCTATCGTGACAAAAAAAGGATAAAAGAAACTAGATTAGCTGCTGCGCTCATTCTCCTAACGTAACGTTTCAATGTGAAGCTAGTGGAAAATTCCAAATGGGGTGATCTGTGCGCAATATGTGCGCACATTAAAGCTACTAGGAATAAATAGGGATATGATAATCTTACCAGTTCCAGTCCCTACATCAAGAATCTGTATCAAACGTTAGAATGGTCGGAGACAAGAAAAAGGGTATGCAAGAAAAAAAAACCATTCACGATAATTAGTGAGCATTCAGGACCCAGATTCTTTCTAGCCAACGAAAGATAGCTAAACTCAATCGGGCCCTGAATTGCCCCTGATGTATCAAGCAATGGTTTCACCACCACCAACCACAAATCTCAACCCCCTAGCTAGCCGCACAAAGCTTCTCTAACCAATAACGGTAATAAACTAGTAAACGAGCAAACAACATACCCTTTCTGCGTTTGATTTATCAATTGGTGAGAGGAAAAGCTCACCACCGAGAGCAAGGTTCCATAAATGATGCATCAAGTCCAGTCGATCCTGTTCTTGCTCATCGTTTGGAAATGCCTACAGTTCAAAAGTACTTGTCAGTGATGTTATCATAAAATCAAAGGAGCGTGGCGGGGGTTTCTTGTTGTTCGCTCACATAGCACGCGAGCGGATACGAATGATAGCGTCGCCCATTCTCATAAACATAGTCCGTTATAGACTCCGACAACGACATTGTCGACAGGACCTCTGAGACAGCATCATCGTCGTCGTCAATATCATCGGATGAAGGTTCCTCGTCCGAAGAATACGTCTCTTCTTCTTCATCTTCTTCCTCCTCCTCATCGGATGACAGGCTGTATCTAGAGGGGGCAATGCATGACATTGTCAGTTGAGTTCCCCCTACACCGAGAGAATAAACACTATTTACCTCTCCTCTTCTCTACCATTCCAGTCCATACAGTTACCCTCGTCGGCTTCGTCGGCGGATAAGGTACCAACAGTGCTGTTTATGTTCTCACGCACGTTCTCCGGCATGGTTGGTGCTTGAACAAGCGTTGACATGTCTCTCTCTACTCGGTTTATGATCCTCCCTGCTTTCGCCGTATGCAAATCGTGTGCTGATGAGGTGATTGATGATAAATAGTATTAGTGTGGTGCTCTATTCCTTCCTTGCTTGCTTGTTTGCGCTTTTTAGGGCTTGTCGGCACCCCCCGTGTCTTCTGTAGAGATAGTGTGACGAAAGAATCTATTCTGTGCGGTACTTTTTGAATTATCAGGGCTCCAGTCAAAGGGGCAAAACAAAAATAAAAATGCGGTAATATTTCTCCAAAATGCTGGTAGGTCCTGGACAAACTCTCCAGGCGATTAAAAATACCGACGGCGCGGATACCATCGACCTCTTTATATCTCTGTGGTACATAGCTTTTTCCAGCGGTGTGGGGATCCCGTTAGACAGAGTCAGTTAGATAGATAGGCATGCATGTGGTGTAGGTTATGGTAAGTGTGGATGGCAGAGTGCGTTCAGGATACCTGCCTAAGAGCGTCAGCAGAAGTTATCATTTCCAGTAGAGTACGCATACATTATGCCACCCACCACCCATATGCATGCTTGCTCCTCTCCTGCACTTGCTTTTCTCCCACCTCCCACCTCCACCTCCTCCACCTCCTCCGCTCTCTACCTCATGCCTGTTATGGCTCTCCACCTCGTTCTCGCTTAAGATTCAACTAGCCAACCCATGGATGGACGGGGGGGCGGCTAATCTACCCCAATCACATCATACACCGCTCCAGCATAATAAAAGCCGTTAGAGCAATAAGACCAGACACGCCATGCCCTGCGAGTCTGCTCTGTCACCGCAACAGACTCGAAAAGCGCCCGTTTATGAGGAATAAACAAGTGGTGTGATTCAGGGAGCATGTGGTACTCCACTTCAGAGTTGAGTAGAGTAGAGCACATATGGTAGGTGTGCACTCTATCTGGCAGTACGCCGCTGCTACTGCTGCCGCAATATAGTAGCTATTATGATGATGATGCATCTATTTCCACGTGTGAGTGGGTTGGGCGGGGGGCTGGAAATCCTTTTTTCCTCCACGTCAAAACAAAGCAAAAAATAAAAAAATAAAAATGTCAGGATAAAAAGGAAAAAGACTGAAAAGAGAGATATCTATGTAGACTCGTAGAGAGAGTAGCCACACTTGCCTGCGCCCACATACTCCAGAGTACGCAAAGAGAGGAAAGCATGTACCCTTCTGGTCCACTGACCTACCGATGTGGTGTATCGAATAGATCCCCCTACCCGGTATTAAACCCACCCATCCAATGGACCTTGCTCTGGACCCGGAAGAAGCCATATTCCGAGCCCTTGGTTGAAGATGCAATGCCGAGACGGCAAGTGGCACTGCCTACAGCTGACGATCTCGTTTGAGTATGCACGAACGCACGCACGGCGCACGCACACACTTTCTTGGGAGAGATGTCGTTTGCTCAAACATTCCCTCCCTCCCTCCCTCCCGAGGTACCAATTGATCCGATTCGGTGGTCATTGCTTTGCTGGTTAATTTAGGTGTAGCAGATATGTTGTTCGGTCTGTCGGGAAAGCCCAGGGCCCAGGACTACCGCAAAAACTCGAAGAATTGGCTACCGACGGCCAGATATTACCTCCCCAACGATTGGCTAAATAGCATCGATCTACATCAGAAGTTTCCCATAAAGGAAATTTTGATCTGGCGCTATAGTACCTAGCCAATTTTTCGAGTTTTTGGCGATAGGTTCCTCATGTAAGCGTCCTGTCCAGCGGTAATGGTAAACCCACTCTAGAGTATGTAGCCTTTACCAGCAGAGCAACGCAACGCACGCTCCCTCATCAGCAATGCGATCGCGTTGATAGATTCCTCCGACCACGCGCTCGGGTTATAGCAACCTCATAAGTCCTTGCGAGATATCTCGGCCCGCTGTTACCGACAGCACGTAGGTAACATTCCGTACCATCCATTTTTTTTTTCTTTCTTTCTTCCTTTTCCATATCTTACCTGTACCTGCATCACCAATAATATAGCATAGTATTGCAATAAGACAAGCGTAACTTGCCAAACGTAAACGTGCGGGTAAGTCAAAAGTCAGCCAGTTGCATATGCCGCAGTGGACCAATCAATCGATATTTACCAACCTAATCATACTCAATATTGCCTACACTGTTTAAAGGCTCATTTTTGTTTTCCCCCTCCGTTTTTTGCTGGCTTGGCATAGTATAAAGTAGTATAGATCCTACCACGAGTAGGTAGGTCACATAACTACGTCTCTACCTACATGCATAGTTAGCTACCGTTTTTTCTGCGGGTCTGATTCGAAACAGATGCGTCTTTTACAACACACTATTTTGGTATTCCATTTGTGTAGCTAGCCATTATGCGAAAGGTATTTTGTGTAGCCTGTAGGGCCGTTAGATTTCGGTGCAGCAGTCTATTACTGGTTGGTGCAGATATTTCCGGACTTTGGTAACAGGGAGCTCCCATGTTCATAATACCACCCATAGATCTTTGCATACTGTAGGTACTTCAGGGCGGTTTAGAACAACAGTTTAGCCCTTTGCTGAATTTCTCGGCGCCTTGTTAATTGCGGTACTTGATACAGCTAGGTATCGGGAAAGAAAGAAACATGGCGCACGCTATTACCAGATTCCCAAGATGTTTGACATTGCGTTTTGTATTATGCATGATGTCCAATTCAAGAGACCACTCCTTTGGATTTGCCCGCGGAACCTAGGTGGCGGATAGAATCCTTGTGCCGGTTTCTGGTTATGCGATTATCTGTTTTACAGATAGGTTTCTTTCCTCGTTCAGAGAGATGAATCCCGTCTATTCTAGAATGGTTATGTGCTCGGATGAAGGTATAGAAGAGTATGGTTGCATAAAGCAGATTCGTGGTTACCTCTCAGATGCGTCAGCATCATGAATCATCATTCGCCATGTTTCAGTGCTTTGATGCACTGTCCAGAGAGTCACCTGTAACTCCACATGGATGGATGTTTTCTAGCCCACAAAGGCCATTTTACCCCGTTCAGTCCGATGTTGCGATACGTGCAATAACTATCCTAGGAGGCTTTCTACCTACCTGACAGAAATTTATCTTCAGTTGTAAAATTTAATCTGAGGATCTAACGAGATCCCTATTTTTAAAAGAAAAACGATCGGGGGGGATTACACACGCCATGTCAAATACTAGTGAATATTTTTTTTAAATATGCCCACCGACTGCCAACTACTTAGCTAACCATCGCTTCCCCCAAGTCCCTTGGATACCCAATCTTCAATAAACGGCGCAAGTAATCTACTTTCTGTTTTCCGCGTCCCAAGAATTTGAACTCTGGCCGGGTAGCTAGCGCTCCCGCTATTCTGGTGGTGCGTGCTGGATTAAATTGGTTAAACTCCACCAATTTAGGAGTCCAAGTCCTTATTGATCTCCCTCCCCCCCCCCCCCCTTTGCGCTCCTTGCGTGGCTACAAAGCAACTATCCTCCGGTATCAAATCTCGGGTACTGGCTTCAGGCCTATCCTAGCCCTGCTTACTGAGTGCAGTTCTTTCCTTTCCGTACATGCTTGCAATTGTCGCTCGCACCATCTCAGTTCATAGTGGTAATAGAACATTAATACCCACTCGCGGCAAGTAACCCCCCCAATGATGTATCATCGGAACTCTCCGGAAAGGGAGTCGCAGATATTTTTTCTTCCAATTTTGTCTCGGGTTGAATATTTGTGGTACCCAGAACCCTGGTTACCTAGTCTTCTTATGTTCCTGCTGAGGTCTAGGGGAGGGGCACGTGAGCAGTTTGAAGAATTCTAATTCCGACATTTTTATGTTATAGAGGTATAGAAATTACCTACCCCCAGTGGATTGTGGTCGAGGAATCCTAGATCAGCTGAATTCTGTCAAGTCACCCCAGAGACTGAGACATGATCTGGACTTTTCTACTGCCTATAAAGTACTACTTTCTTTTGGGTCGGAGTGCTAATTTGTCGGTGTGATGGCTCACAAAACACATGGATCTGGCTGGACATTAGAAACGCCTACACTTTAATCGTCATCAACGGTACCATATACTATGAGGGATGAAATACGTACCGCTTATGGTTAAGACAACTATTTACCTGATCTTCATACATACGAATGATGGAAAGGGCCATCAATATTACCACCAAGCCCTGAGGTGCTGGCTATACATATGAGTAAATTTTGCGATGGTGGCCGGCCCCAATAGGGCATTGCGTTGAGATTCAATCGCAGTAGAGAATATCCCTGTAAAATGCATGTGCCACCTTTTTAGTGAATCGAACATTCCTGTTGATCCGGGGAGAATAATATTGTATTCACACATCCGGATTATCACTCCCGGTGCTAAACGCATTTCCTCTCGCTAGAGCCCACTGAATGATCCCTGCTGCGGTTGAGGTGGCCTGACTTCTGACTGTATATTGCATGTCTTAATCAACCACAGCTTGAGATCGATATATCATCAGCTCTCACTCGTTGTTGTTGTTTCTTACCCAGTACAAAAAGCTGCACCTCTTGCCTCACGGTGGGTAGGACGTTTGATCCAAGACTGGGTTTCTAGAATGACGCAAATCCGATCCACCATCATGCAGATTTCCCTCACTCCTCCTTCTCGATGGGGAAATATCAGGTCAGGAACACACATAGCACCTATTTTCATCCTATTCACCTGCACCCCTTAATTTGAGAACAATTTGCATATCCAGCCATTTGGTCGAGTGATCTAGTCAGCCCAAGTCAAACCTTATTCAACCGAAGTCTGATGATTGATGCGGGGCACCACTGACTTGGGATGGAAGCTCACGCGATATCACAAAGGTGTCTATCCATGCAATACAGTCGGATTACGCGCTTATTATTCACAGGAGCATATCGCGTGCCGTGTGTTCTAATATCAACTTGTTCACATTTAAACCAGAATGGAAACTTTCACCGCGACTCACCTCCCGGCCCGCCTGCGCCACGTATCCGAAAGGTCTGCATGGTATGCACCACAAATGCCCATGATGCTCCTCGTATGTTTATAAAAAAGCAAGATCGGCAAGCCAGGTTGGACTGATAAGGAGAAACACGTTATTACTCCTCGATCCGTTATTGGTGGTGTACCATGTCGATGTTCGCCAACGTATTGACTGAATCGAACATTAGCCGGGAGTGTATGTTCTGCACCCTAAGGTTATACCCAGTTACTTGCTCTACGATGGACGCGTTATCCATTCTTAGCCGCGCACAAGCGTCGCGGCAAGACGAAGATTCACATTATGTCCCAATCCCTAGTCCAAAGCCCATCCATGCTCTGAATCTCGTCCAGTTTCCAGCGTTGTTAAGATTGATCTTATATTTTTTTTCTCGAGCGAGCAAGGTTGATTTCGTTGATAGTTTACTCTAGCACTTATGCATATTGTACACCCCATAAGCTTTTAAACGAGTCAGGTTGTTGAAAAATGGTTTTGAAAGACCACACACCAGCAATGTCAGGCATTAAATCGGTCATCGTAGCTGATATTTGAAACAAAACTGGTGAGATTTCATGAACCAGCCGACATTTTAACAGAAGGCTCATGGCTTTCGGTGCATTTTGACGTTCCATTTTTTTCTACCGGAGGAATATTCTTTTCGATCGACCCTATCCCACGAATCGTAGAATCAAGGGGTGAAATAAACATCCTTTGGGTAGACAGCAATGTCAAGCAAACCAATCCAACCTTTGAAAGACCCTCTAGCCCTATAAAATCAACGAGTAAACTGATGTCAGCGGAATAGTCCTGCCAGAGCTATTGGTGATAAGCCTCAGAGGATTTTTGATTACATTGATTTTCGCCAACACTTGGACCCATCTATCTGGCTGTAAGGCTAGAAGGTTCTGTGAAATTTATCCCCCAATGATCTGTAAGTAAGCGCCAGGAATTATCACCAAGAAAAATTTGTATCTTTCTCTTAGTCACGTGCTGCTGCTGTCGGGGAAAAAGACCTCCTAAATCCTGCTCTCCGGGAGTTCTGACCAAATTGGACTTTTGGGATTGTTAGTCATAGAAAACGCGAGTGTTTTTTATTGAAGATATTAACCTTCCACACAATTAACGCACAGTCTCAAACGTATTCAAACAACGTTAGCTTTGAACCTTCTTTCCTCTGCTATCAATTGATAGTCCTTGAAAATGTTCACAGCAATACTCAACTCAGGGCGGTCAGCACGCACTACCGATCATAACCTTTCATGGTCGAACCCCCTTCTTACATTCCGTTGCCGCTTTACGACTGCCGTTCTCCGGGCATAAGCAAGCCATGTTTCAGTCAAGACACCTGAGTTAATCCTTTACCCTATTCGCATATCATGCCCGTCGTTATTTGTGGAATAACTCTCGGTCCTCCACCAAAATATGTAGAGTAGAGTACCTACTCTAGGTAGTACTACAGTCGTTCACGAACGCTGCCTGTACCTACAGCCGTTTTAAATAACAGAGGAGTTCGAGCCAATAGAAATTAAAAGAATTTGGAGATCTCGCAGCTTGGCTGTTGCGTACCATAATTATAGCCCCTGTTTGCCATTGTCATTGTCATTGACAGGGACCTTGAACGACTGTAGCTCGCTAAAAATATTGTCTGGTGCGTAACTTATATATTTTATCGACCTGTGTTACCACCAGACCTTGATAAGTAAGTGCTCGTAATGTACAGACACCATATTTACGTGTTCTGTTGGATGAATATATCTGGAGTTATCCCAGTTATCCTTTAATGCCAGAAAACTTCCCTGTAGCCTAAATTCTGTGGGTCAGGTATTCCATACTGTCAATGCATTGTGCCGTTTCAATCTTCACAGGTAGAATGTTATGATGTCAACCAATGGCCGAAAGCTATTCCCAACATTAAGTTTAGTAATAATTCCAGATAGATGACATGTTTCGCGAAGAGATCACATGCGAGGCGCGCCAATGAGGTGTCTTTATATTAGCTACTCTAGACCGAGGATATAATTGTGAATTAGTCTAATGAGATATAATATATAAAATCGGGCCCAAATACCAGGTGCATGGTTTCCCTTAAAAATTGTGAATGGGACCAACGGCCAGGATCCCGGGAGAGGGCTCCGGGGCCTTGAGACCGAGGACAAACAAACCGATCCGCGGTACTCCAATAAAAAAAAATTGTAGTAGATGCAAGGCAAGGAATATAATTATTACCTGTAGTTAAGCCAGGCGTACCGAGTGACGGTCTGTGAATAGCATTTTTCCTTTGTTTCATCTGCACCCAGCAAGACTACATGTATCCAGTTAACCTCAAGTACATGAATCCGGTAGTTAAGTGAAAATTCCACTGAGTACGGCTGTGTTGTGAAAGGAAACTTACCGATTCCATTATCCGCGGTTCGTACATATGAGTATTTTTCAAATGGCCCTTCCCATGACAAAATACTGGAATATATCCCATCCATCACCTTCAAGGTCTTCTAAGCGCCATCGTTAGCTATTCGGATCTTATCACAGAACGAGGGAAATAAATATGTAATACTTCCACAAAACTGATATCTATAACCCTTGTAGCACTGTTTTATCTTAAATTCTTTCATCTAATTGATTATCGATGACCTATTCCTGGGACGATTACTAATGATATAGGAAACCCTAGAAGATGACGATCGTTACTCTCAGAACACTGAAAAGAGTCTGAATTTGAGACTGCTTTGATATATCGGTGTTTACGGTAACTAACTCGGCTCAAATGGCCAATAAGCCTACTTATTTGGTTTCCTGAATATCCATCGAGAGAACTTGGAGCAACGTTGCCCGGCACTATGGGGCCTTTACGTCCCCTTTCACGGAAGGCCTAACTTTCATCCCGAGCCCTGCGCTTTTCCGGGCTCTCCTCGTGGTGGGGGCCTAATAACGATGCTTGGTGATAAGCTGGATAAGTAATCCCACAAGTAGTTAGTAATCGAGTGATCACCTGTGAAGTTGTTCATCTTAAACCGAGCGAATCAACGCAGTCTGTCTGGGAAAGAGATGCTGTGACACTGGATGAAGGGGTGATGGAGAGAGGAAGAGGTTTGTGGTGACGTTGTCGAAGGTCAATCGAGGTGCGCACGTCAATGCCAAGTGTTCGGTTTAGTTATCACAACACTAGCGTTTAGCTTACTGGAATTAAGGGTCTGTTCGCTCCCGGCAATCTGGTTTTGAGTCAGCTGTTGTGTCTCGGATGTGGCAATTTGAACCGTTCGGGAATCGGCCAACTAGGTGTTGGAGGAGAGCAATCAACAGCTTTGATAAGAAGTGTGTCTGAGTATATCAGGGTGACCCAATAAGAATCAAAGGAATCCTCTGTGGGGAGTTTGTCTATCATCCGGGAAATCGATGAAGAAGGTGAGAACGGACACTTTAGCAAACCCGCTTAAGAAGTCAGCTCTGAGCATCCCGCTTTTCTAATCTCGGGATCCAATATCGCCAAGTTATCCCTGTAGATACATCCCGACGGTAACCCCGGACGGCCACGTGGGAATGAGTTCAACAACCAAGCATCATGCAACATGAGGTTCAAGTGCAATAATTTGGCGATGCATTATCAAGAAGTAAGCCACGTACATAGTTTTAGTTCACCTCCTAAAATCCATGTCTCTCGTTGATTCCATCTCACGATTGAGATTGTTGTCTAACTAAAATTTCCATATAGGTTTCCATGGCGGCAGAATTCATTAATATCAATTCGCTTTGTATCTCCAGAAAGTCGAATCTCTGTATGAATCTTGCCCATGATCCTAGGCCGACAGGTCGAATTGCACTCTCGTGGGATACGCTAACAGTAGTGACGGTTAATAGTACAGTTTGATTGATTACTTCATGGTTAATAGTGCAGTCAATTATAGGCTGACAGAATAATTTCACATTCATCCCCTAAACTATACAGCAATATTGAATTCGAGGTAAGTTATCTTACTAACATAAGTAATTCATTATCAAAACTTATTAAAGTTTGAGGAAGCCGGTAAAAGCTTCTATTCTGACAGTATCAAAGCTTTGTGTACCTGTGCAGCTCCCATTGGTCAAATTATAAACCCGTCCGAAATGAATTTCTCAACTTCACAGAGTTCACTAGTTGCAACTACGATAAATAAAAG